AAAGTTGTTATATATTTGCATTTCATACACTTTTAACATGGGTAATAAATATTATACCACACTCGTTCTCGTTAGATACCATTTTTATGAAATGTGAACTTTCTATATGGTATCCAACGAGAATGAGTGTAGCATTCTCTATGGATGCCAGTTTTTGATGACAAATCCTTGTTTTCTACAGATTTAGTTCCACTCCAGTGGAAGTTTTGAATGAAGTGTATCACAGAGCCAAATCAGCATATCTGACAGTGTCCATATTGATGTTATTCGAAAATTGAAAAACATTAGCTCTACCAGTGCTTTCATTGCTTTGATAAGTCCCTAGAGATGTTCCAGACAAACCATGTCTGATAAATGTAAGTGAAATTGATGGAAAGGGAACTGCAAGTTATTGCCCTCAATCAAGGGAGGTAACTTTGCAAGAAGCATACTGTTTAGTGACATCTCCCAGACAGATTGTCTATATGGCTTATGTTTAAAAATACAGACATGTTGTGGTTGCCAAATATTATCAAGATCAAATATTTACACAAGTGCAGGATTAATCATGGTCAAATACAGCTATTTCCTTTACCAAATAGGGAATTATGGAAATAAACATGCACAAGCTGGACACTGAGGACTTGCTTACTTAATGTGGAAAATTCAATGACGGAATTGTCCTTGCCGATCGTGCCAAGCCAAGCGAATATTGAAATTGTGACCCTGAAAATGAACCCTCTTAGTTACTTGATGGTGCAACATATCATTATTATCATAATAGTCCATCATGCAAAATATTTCCATCCAAACCCTGACATTAAGGACTTCTTGGGCAGTAAGTTGGCGCCCAGTATGGCTGCTTGGCAAGAACCTACCGGTACTTGAACTGTTATAGACAGTCTTGTCAGGTTACCATACACAATACCATTGTAGACGGAGCCTTTGTGAAGGAGGATGGGGCATGGCCACACTTCATGAGTGAGTGAGTGAGTGTGTGAGTAAGTGAGTAAGCTTTAATGGCGCTTTGAACAGTTGTTTTTGTTGTGTCACGGCATGTCAGGTTATACATGGGAGGGTTTTTTAATGCCTGAAGTGATACAAATCTAAGACATTTACCACGAGCATGGGTATGGTAATGACAAACAAAATCATCATTATAATAATATTATAATTCTACTAGCCTGTTGGGCCTGTACGCTTTTTCACACTTGCTGTCAATATCTATTGTCCTCTCACTTCCTCCAAAATCGCTGTGCCAGACATGAGTCTTAATATTTGAATGTGTTTATAATGCATTAAAGATAGAAATTTGAAAGTCTTCTCATTTTATGAGGACTAGCAACCTCTTGCAGCACTATTAGAAAATGAATCCCACTGGCCTTGTGGGTTTGTATGTGTTTTTAGATAACTTCCATCCCTGCATGAAACCCCTGATTCTATTAGTCCATAAGCGAATGATTCATCTGAATGTATACATACCATGAACTTCTCATGCGAATGAGTCTAACTAAAGAAACCTAATTATTGCACTGTGAATGTTTCACATCGTGAGCCCAGAATTAAGTGTGTCCTATAATTATAAGGCCAAGCCTACTGTAGCTGGAGTAATGCACATTCATTAGCCGATGGAAAGATCACAGCCCAAATAAAATGCATGCCGGCGATTACTATTGGCTGAATAGTCCCAATGGTGGGGAGTGATTTGGCATCATATGATGAGAGTATTGATCACTGCTATTGATGAAGTACTAATAGAGAGAAGGGGTAAGGGTATTGATGTGAAGGTCACGGTCGACAGTTGTCATATCATCTGTCAACTTGACACGAGGCTGCTCCCTCGTTATGTCTTTGGACTGTCAGGAGTTGACAGGTGCAGATGTAGGTGTGTGGATCCCAGAGCTTGACAGGTTCCTGGCATAATTTTTTTTTACTGTTGGGCTAAAATGGGGATCAGATGATCACAATGGTTGCTAGGAATGGGCTGGCAGAGTGAGTAACCTTGATACAGTGTAACTGTAACCCAACTATTTGTGCAATATGTACAATATATAACAACGCAACTCTAAATACAATATACAACAACTATGAATACAACATACAACAACACAACTATAAATACCATTCCCAACAACACAGCTATAAATACAATAAACAACCACACAACTATAAATACAACATACAACACAACTATAAATACCATAAACAACATTTCAACTATAAATACAATATATAACAACACAATTCTAAATACAATATACAACAACTATAAATACAACATACAACCACACAACTATAAATACAACATACAACACAACTATGAATACAATATATAACAATGCAACTCTAAATACAATAAACAACATTTCAACTATAAATACAATATATAACAACACAATTCTAAATACAACATACAACACAACTATAAATACAATACACAAGAATACAACTATAAGTACAATATACAACAATACAACTATAAATACAATATGCAACATCTCGACTATAGATACAATATACAACAACATATTCTTTATACAACATACAACATAACTATAAATACAATATACAGCAATGCAACCATAATTCAATATATAACACAACTATAAATGCAATATACAACAATACAAGGTTAAGTGCAATACACAACAACACAACTATCAATTCAATATATACAACAACCAGTTTCATGTGGCAAGACATGTGGGTTGTAGGTTCAGTCTTTATTATGTCGGGGGCAGGGGTGGCCCAGTCGTCTAAGGCGCCGCAATTCGCTGTGCAGAGTTGCGTCCCTTGGGCACGCCAGAAACCTATGATTGTGGGTTCGAAACCCGGTTCGGCCCAATTATGTTTCTAGGTTTGTCAGCACCATACCCGTGCCTGTGGGTTTCACCCAAGTGGTAAACGTCTGTGACCTGCATCACTTCGGGCTTTCCTCCCACATAAAGCTGTCACGCCGCGATATAACTGGAATACTGTTAAAAGCGGCGTTAAACCAAACTCACTCACTCACTCCTTTACAGTGACCTTGAGCTGCAACAAACATAAAGTCATTATAAACTAAGCTGAAATAGCAATTGTTGTCAGTTCTTAGACATACCCATGCTTGAATAAGACAGTCTCTTCAGCCCAGAAAATTCTTGTTCAGTGATAAAAGGAAATGACAGCTGTGTTTTCAACATGGACGTAGACCTGCCATCAGCCTCTTTAGGGGGTGTCAGGAAGTCATACAAATGCTTCCTGATATATTCCTCTGTAAATTTGCCCAAAGTCTCACATTTCACTGTACAGAGTTGTATCCCTTTGCCTGGTGATGATCCGGTGATCATGGGTTTAAATTCCAGACTTGGTCTGATTATGATCCTGGAGCTGTACATCCTCGAATAGCCCCCGGGTTTAATTACTGACACAGGAACCCTTACAAGCATGGATATTTTTGTTTTAAAGAGGGTGAGCACAGCTTTTTTAAACAGGAGTAGGGGGTGCACTTAAAATTTAAAAAAATATGCTGGATGAATGAAAATAATGTGTTTGTAAACCATGACATATTTAAGTCATGGTTATTTTTGTTGAAAACATGTTGGCAAATGATTCAGTTATTTATTTTTGATATGTTAACATGATTACTACATTATTATTACATTGTGTGTCTGTGTGTGTGCGTGCGTGCTTGCGTGCGTGCGTGCGTGTGTGAGTGTGTGTGTATATGTGTGAGTGCGTGTGTGTGTGAGTGTGAATGTGCATGTGTGTGTGTGTGCGCATTTTATTTTTAGAGAGATTTTTCCATCAATTCTTTTTAATTTGTGTCATTGTCTCTTCACGATATTTCAAAGTATTTAGTTAAACAAGACCTTATTCAATCAGATGCTTATTCAAAGTAGGTATAATTGTTCGGGGTTCAACAGTATATTCCTGACTAGGGCATAAGAGTCTCTCATTTTGAAATCCTCAACTTCATCAATTCTCAGATTACAATGAAGGAGTAGAATTGTAAAGTGTAGAAATTGGTTCATGGAAAAACTTGAAATAGGCCATCAAACTGGTGATGGGTGTTGAACCACTGCCTGTCACACAGTCATCCTGCACGTCAGGCAAGGCAGCCCTGCAATGGGTGAATGTGCCAACATGAAATTGTAGCCTTTCAGTTCAATATTGAATTCAAATTCAGATTTAATCCGTTCATGTCAGAGTGGTATCCGGATGAAATTGATGAGTAATATTATTAATTCTTAATATGATGATTAATTTTCCTTTTTTTGTGTGGTCAGCTTAGTTAATATGTGTGGAAAGGCTATGTAATGATATATAATACTGCAATTGCAATAAAAAGCACTTTGTGAACGTAAAAAATGACAATGGATGCTTTTTAGAACCCTACACAGCATCTTAAATTTGTTGTCAGAGATCGAGCAATATAGTGACCAAACTTAGTACAAAAGTCAAGTAAACTAAAACCCTTTTGATCATAGTTACCAGGCAATTATACCCCTACAAATGTGTAATATATGCTAGAGAATATGGAATATATGTTAAAATATGTAACTTTTCAGCTTATACAAGGGCACATATGTAAAGATTAAAGATCTTTATAAAGATAAAAATCAATTGCTAAATATGGTAATTACGGTACATTTATACAGCCCTTGGCCATACTGGATGTTATGATCGGGACAATACATATGTGTCAGCTTGAATTTTATTCCCAGCTCCCTGGGCAGTATGCTACCCCATGCTGTGCATTCATCATCACTTAAGCAAAAAAAGCCATTTCTCGACAATGTTGGTGAATATTTATGTTTGTTGGGCCAAGCAAGACAGAAACAATCAATATGAGCAGAGATCAAGAGGGAAAACAACTCCAGAATTTCATTTTTTAGGGTAATTTTATCTGACATAACAAATGTAATTTCGCATGTTTCATTATGTTATTGAGAGGCTCGAGAATTGATTTTTGAAGCCATGCACAATTCTCATCCTAGAATAACATACCCTGTTGTTAGAGTATTACATTTGCAAGAGGCCTTCAGTGTGAGATTACTGAAACGTTTGTATGATATCCTTACATTGCCATGGCGAACTATTACCGATGTCAAGTTATACGACATGGCCATCTCAGCAGAAGGCTGGGGATACGGAATTCGGGATTTATCTGACATATGGCGGAGCTACGTGGAATTAAATGTTTTATAAAGAGGAGGGTGTTTGCACCAGTTCAGGCATACAGCTCATATTGTCAGAGATGCTAGGCCTCTTTCACTGAAGCGCAGTTTCGAGTGGAAAAGCAGATTCCCAAGTGAATGATTCATAAATATTTCAGAATTATTGGCAGAGTGTTATGGGAGGGAGAGAGGAGCACCAGTAAACGAGCAAAATTTGTGCTAGACATCTCTCCCATGGTCGGTTGACATAATGATTTGATTTTCAATAATACCAATGGAGAAAAGCTTGGTGAAGACAAAGGAAAAGTGTTTCAGTGCCATTATTGGATTTTGCTAGAATTTGGCGGCATTGTTGCAGAATGTGAAGCTGGAAGGCAGCAGTGTAGCTACGTTGAAGCTACAGGTCTCGTTAGCTGGAGCATGGTGTATTGGGGCTCGAGTACATGTATTGGAATCAGCCTTGGAATTACTTTGTATTATCTGACTGGCCTCTGTCAACAACTAGGCTGCAGTGACAACGGGTGGTGATTATATCCCAGCATTCTCGGCTGAAACTAAATCCGCGATCGTGACAATGTCGTCTGCGTGTGAAGCTTTACCGCGGACGGAGGAATGAATGTGCGATGCCGTTATTGATTTCCTGCAAGGATGCCGTTACCTACAGTTCCTTGCATGACTTGATGCCGTGTTACCGTGATTCAATTTTATGTGTTCACGTGTGACCAAACACCCGAGTTTTCTATTTATGCAGTAATTCTGCATCAAGCAAGCATTTTCCAGCATCAGTGACACATAGCATATACCATCATGCCTGTTGGAATAGCCCACGTTCCACAACACACAAGTGCTTCATCGCCTAGTGGTATGCCAGAGGGAGTTCATACCGTCAAAGAAAGATCAAGGAAGGTCTATTTTTTTCAGAAAGCTGAAGGTGTATCCCAACCTTGTCCAAGAAACAAATCCTCTCTCTCCATGAGAACAGGGACTTTAAAATCGTGGAAAACTCATTTTCAGAAAGCGGAATTCTCGGGTATCCATTCCAAACCCTCTTTGATGATGCTGGGGCAATTGGCGGTGCAGGTTGTGATAGTCATGTTTTTATTCACTGACCCTGTAATGGCATGTTATAAATTTCCTCCAGGGAAGAAGAATCCATGTCAAGATCACCCATGTAACTTTGGTGCGATATGTGTCCCATCCCTGGATGGCACCTCACACAGATGCACGTGTCAAAACCGCTGTGACTCGTACGGAGACAACGTCGGAAGTACGCCAGTTTGCGGGAACAATGGAGTCGACTACAAAAACATGTGTGAGCTGGAGAGAGCAGCATGCACATCCATGAAAGAAATCCGTGTCAAATATTTTGGAAAATGTGGTATGTATATTATGCTTATGGTGTTGGGTCAAACTAACCTATATGTTTGAAGGGAGTTAATCCAAAAACTCTCCCCAGTTTTGTTTCATAATCCAAACTCACCATTTATTTCATGTTTATTAACCTTAGATTGTTTCACAACCCTGTTTCGTAACTCGCAAGCAATTTGCAAGATGACAACTTCTTTGTTTACAGTGAGGTTTAGGAACAGATGCTTCCACCTTTATCAAGCATTCGTACCTAATCCCTACCATGCCAATCACATGCCATTCACCCATGAAAGAAGGTGCTATGTCCTTTTCAAATATATTGATCATTTTCTTTTTTCAGACATGTTAATGAATTGTTTGCTTCAGAGGTTGATAATTTCTTGAAATACTCATTCTGATCATGTATGTTTCTAAATGTTTAAACCATGTGTGAGAAGTCAGCCATGTTTTTTCCTTGATGCCCAAGTTGGAAATTGGTTTCACATTTTTGTTTCAATTAACCCTTTCTGTCACATCTGTGATGTTTCTGTTTGACAGATTAAGGTTAACAGCAACAGACAGTGGTATAATCTGTTGCATAGCAACTGTTGTACCAATAATGCAAAATGGACAGATGAAGGCAATAAAAAATGATTGCAATCTAAACTTGAAACTGAGTTGCTGTTTCTCATGTTTCTGTGATAAACGTAGGGCTCAGGTTATGATTGATAAGATCGGCACACAGATCACTGAAATATATATCCCAGGATTCAGGATCACCTGGTGATGCTGTACGTGATGCTGCAGGGTCTAGTAGCTCTCTTGGGCTAATTGTTTTGTACATACTGAGATCTCTGTTCTCACAGGTTTTGTGTGTTATATTTCAATGGAAGATGTCATTATCTTACTGAATTTACTGAAAGATAACGAACAAGTTCTGTTAGGCTACAGCAAATCTCTGTTACAAAAAAAGTTTGTTTCTATTTGCCATTTCTTCTATTTTTCTCCAAAAAGTGCCTTTCCTTTTATCTTTTGTGGTGAAAAAGTAGAAAGCAACTGAAATCGTATAATTTTCTTGAGTGTTTTCCAGTTGTTTTTCCATTGTTTTTCATTTTTTTTAATGAGGGGTCAACTCAAAGAAGACAAAATGTGCTGATTTCAAGTTGTGTTTTTACAATACTAAAAAACGCAACCAGTAATGATGTTCACTGAATCGTTTTCTAGGTGAAGATAACAGAAAATCTAGTTGTCATATTTTCATGTCATTGGTTGTGACTATGCTAATATATTTTGTAAATGTAAGGAAATGTTGTTTTCCACAGCAAACTAAATATACTACCAGTACTAAGAAGTAAAGGCATGACAGATAAACTCTAGTAATATGAAAGAATCAGGTGGTCATTAACCTCTTTTGAGTAGTATATCTAACAGATTATGCACATCCTTAGTTTATGAAGATTAAGGAACATTTTACAAACTATTTATAGCTGACATCAGAAGAAATAGAAGCCATAAGACTGCCATGCCCCATTCAAGAAATGCATGCTTTTGATAGCTATGTTGGACACTAGTCAAACAATGATCAGAATGAGTGAGTGAGGTATTATGCCGCTTTTAGCAATATTCCAGCAATATCATGGCAGGGGACAACACAAATGGGCTTCACACATTGTACCATGTCAGGAATTGAACCCGGATGTTGGTCGTGAAGATCAAACACTTTAACCACTAGGCTACCCGACCGCCCACCATGATCAGATATGCATATAGAAATTTTAATGTGTCAACAGAGAACACCGACAGCAGAGAAATACTCGTCTGTTTTCTGCTAAATCAGATTCCATTGGGCATAAAGGGCAAAATACGGGTGAAAATGATATCAATGGATCACTTTAACTCATTGATGATAACATGTTTGTGTGAAGAACTCAAAAGCCTTTGCAGCTCAAAAGGAAAAAATACCAGCTCTCCTTTAAAAAAAAATGTTTTAATTTCTTTGCTTTGGTCTGACCCGGCCCATCCCTCCAAAGTTACATATATATAGTATTGATTAATTGACTAACAGCTCCACCTATGCAGACCTGCGTGATTGGTTCTTTTACCTTAGAGAAATTGGTTTGAACCTCTTGTATATCACTGGGTGCGACGATGTGCAATTACTGCGAACTTCACTCCTCAAGACGAATGCATTCATGTTCTCAGTTGTCTCAAGGGAGTGGTTTCCATGGGGGGGGATCGGAATAGTTTAAATTATTTATCAGATTTATATGGTTCTTAGTTGTAGTGCATTGAGACAAGAATTGTCGATTTTTCTAGATAGTGTAAATTATTTATCAGATTTATATAGTTTATAATTGTACTGCATTGAGATAGGAATTATAGGTAATTTGTAGACAATGGAGTTTTATTTTTTGTTTCTGGATGATTTTTATGTAGTTATTTTCAAATATGTTGTTAACTGGACCATGATAGATGTAAGATATCCTTGAAGTATTGCTTGCTAGATCATGATAGATGTAAGATATCCTTGAAGTATTGCTTACTAGGCCATGATAGATGTAAGATATCCTGGAAGTATTGCTTGTTAGATCATGATAGATGTAAGATATCCTTGAAGTATTGCTTACTAGGCCATGATATATGTAAGATATCCTTAAAGTATAGCTTACTAGGCCATGATAGATGTAAGATATCCTTGAAGTATTGCTTGCTAGATCATGATAGATGTAAGATATCCTTGAAGTATAGCTTACTAGGCCATGATAGATGTAGGATATCCTTGAAGTATTGCTTACTAGGCCATGATAGATGTAAGATATCCTTGAAGTATTGCTTACTAGGCCATGATAGATGTAGGATATCCTTGAAGTATTGCTAACTGGACCATGATAGATGTAGGATATCCTTGAAGTATAGCTTACTAGGCCATGATAGATGTAAGATATCCTTGAAGTATTGTTAACTGGACCATGATAGATGTAAGATATCCCTGAAGTATAGCTTACTAGGCCATGATTGTAACAGTGGCGAGTGTTTTGACTCTTGATGCCAAGATCAGATTCAGGAGGATCACAAGTTCCAATGTATAATGCTTGACCTCCAGGAGACAAATGTCCCTTGTAACAGTGGCCAGTGTTTAGACTCTAGATGCCAAGATCAGATTCAGGAGGATCACAAGTTCCAATGTATAATGCTTGACCTCCAGGAGACAAATGTCCCTTGTAACAGTGGCCAGTGTTTTGACTCCAGATGCCAAGATCAGATTCAGGAGGATCACAAGCTCCAATGTATAATGCTTGATCTCCAGGAGACAAATGTCCCTTGTAACAGTGGCCAGTGTTTAGACTTAGATGCCAAGGTCAGATTCAGGAGGATCACAAGATACCAACACATGGTTCTTCATCATTCACATCACACAATTGACAAAAAAACATTCTTTGCTTTCCAACCAAGCAAATCATGCACTAACATTGTTCCTTCTTCCAGATTTTAGTATATTGATAAACACTGTACAAACTAATTCAAGTCAAAAAACTTTAAAACATCAAAATCAGTAAAATCCATCCAATTAAATGAAAAGAAAAAAATTATGATCAAAATCAGTAAAATCCATCAAATTAAATCTAAAGAAACCAATATTTGAAATTGTTTTTGAGGGGAGTTCAACTTACTCTTGTAGAGTGGTCAGTTTCAATTGAGCCTTCCATTCCAAATCGGTGTTGCTTTTTAAAATTTTGCAACATATTTTTACACCCAGAATGTCCAGAGAAGATTTATCTTTTTTAGTAGTGGGAACACCTGAGAACAAATGACTTTTTCCCTGTCTTTTCTGGATGAAATTGCCTTCTTTATATATATATGAGTTATTGAACTGTATTCCAGTTATATCACAGCAAGTCTGCTTGATGTGAGAGGAAAGCCCAAAGTCATGCAGGACTTAGACATGTACCACTTTGTTGAAAGCCACTAGTAAAGGTATGGTGCTGACAAACCAAGAAACATAATCAGGGCAAACCTGGGACCATAGGTTTCATTAGGCTTGGTGACTTGGTTGATGCTTGTCATTGTATCCCAACTGCCTGGATCAATGTTCATGTTATTAATCACTGGATTGTCTGGTCCAGACTTATTTTTACAGACCACCGTCATATAGCTGGAATATTGCTGAGTGTGGCGTAAAACAAACAAACCAACAAACCAACAAACCAACATACCATAGGTTTCAGGCATACAAAAGGGACACAAATCTGCACAGAAAACTGTGGCACCTTAGACAACTGTACTAACCTCCTGTCCTTAAAACAATAATAGCAATTACCAGGATCTATTTCCACTGAACAATCTGACCCAAACAATTCCATGCCAAATAATTTGAATTATTTCTTTTCAACTGACCCAATATATTTGGTTAGCAATAACCCATAAACCCTGAAAGAAGTGTGGCCGAATATTCAGCCCAACATGGTATCCCAGTGACCTCCATCTGCTGAAAATGTACGATACTCTCCAGGGTCTACTCCTGCATCAGCAACTACTCCAACATCCATATCAGCATCACTACATTATCACCAGTTTCAGTCAGCATACACAATATTCAATTAATGCTGTTTTTGTCTAGACTGTCTCAGGAGGGCTACACGCCCCTAAAACAAGATCTTGATTAATGCCATAAAGTCATCCTTTACAAACCTATTTGACAAACTGGACAGACTCTCTTGCTGCCATTTACGGTACTGGTACATTATAGTTAAACACAAAACTAAGGACGAATGTCTTAACTAACTGATGAACCATTTTACTGCAAGAAATTCCATAACAAATAAGAAAACATTGGGATACCTTAGAGTGAAAAAGAACAGTAGTCACAGTACAAAGTGAATTCGATGACGAGAGGCAAGAGAAATACCCTGTGCAGCATGAAGACAACTGAAGTCATGACATGTAAGATTGAATACCCTTTCATCACCTGCCCCAGTGGCTCAGTGGGAGAACAATTGGTTATAATATATGTTAGGTTGCAGGTTCAATTCA